TGAGCGCCCCCTGCTGGCCCCACTATCACCTCTTCCAGCAGCAGCCTTAGTTTTTCCCAGGAGGTCTCCCATCCAGGTACTGACCAGGCTCACACCTGCTTATCTTCAGTGGGTTGCCAGTTGTGAGTTGCAGAATGATATGGCTGCTGGCATATAAGTGTATGGATTATTTATTATTTATTTAAACACATGACAGTGTGACACTGTACTTACTTTGAGATGTCTCCTGGTAAGCTTTCCTGATGTCTTTCAGAACTTCTTCAGCCACATCAGGCAAAACTGTGGACATGTTTCCAGATCCTGCAGAAATACAAAGAATAATAAATATCTCACAGAAAGCAAGGTATTAAACCAAATATTGGAAGTGCTTCTGTAGAAATTATTTTGCTTAATTACAAACTTTGACATGCATAATTCTACAGGTTTAGAGCCTAAATGTGTATTAAAAAGTTATTTAAAATTAGGGTAAATTGCACTTACGATACGATACAGTATTTATATATTTTGGAAACTTTGTTTTTACTGTCATTACACTTCACACTCAGATACCTGCATAACCATTCATTTAATAATAAATAACACTGTTTGAGTTACAGTTTGTTTCGTTAGCAAACCTTGCTCAAAATCATCATTACCACCAATCAATCAACAAACTTAAAACGATGTAATCGATATACTGTGGAAAGTCGCATGTTTGCACTGATTGTGACACCTGCATCCACTACCCAGTAACTGTCTCCTTCATGCTACTACTTACGTGATGCAGATTCACAACAGAAGACAATCCTGCAGCAGGACATTCAGATAATTTGCAGTAAAATTTACAGTTTCTGGGCTAACAAGTTACATATTTTGGTGCAAACTACCGTTAAGAAGAAAAAAAAACATTGAGAAGCTTACACAATTTCTTGTTGATGATAAAAACTAAAGGTGGATAAAAACTAAAGGTTTTAACAAATTTAATGTAGTCACACGCTTTAACAATGGTGCCCTTTAATAACAGCAATAGACGTTTTCGCTAACCAATTCGTGAACAACCGTGCTCAATTCGATAACCAAGTACATAAACGATATTTTGTAACATGAAAACAAAAAAATTAAGTTAAGCAAGAACGCTCTCGCGTTGCTTGCGTATTATGTTTTCTTTCAAACTACTAAAAATGAAAAGCTCATAACTAGTTACGTCTACTAAAAGTACACGTTTTTTTCAGTCGCTTTTCATTCATGTATTTTCATTAGTATTAATTTCTCTCAAAATTAAAAAGAACTCAAAAACATGAACTTACCGGGGAAACGAGCTCGTTTTCAGCGCCTAACGACGTACAAGCGCAAGGAATCCTGGTCATTGTAGTTCAGATTGTAACGTCCCTTGCGAGACTCCCTCTGAGAAAACTACATCCCCCGTCGACAATCTCGTTCCCCGGAAAACATCGTTTTCCAGTCGTTACAAGTGGTCGGAAGTTCAACATGTGATGCGTTTGATAATGTCTAGCTGGCTATCTTACGCATTGACACAAGACGTCAAACAACGTAATGTGCTTGCTGTTGTATTACTGAATATATTCACATGCTGTCTTCACTAAGTATCTACATTAATTTA